GATGCTCACAAGCAGGGTTGGACCGGGACGAGTCAGCCCGGCATTGTGCAGCCCCGAACCGGACGGGCCATCCGGGACCGGGACCGGGACTGGGGGCCCGACCCAGGGGTAGGGAGCGGGCTACAGGATAGGGAAAAGGGCGACCGGCCCGGCCAATCCGGGTTTTGTTTTTGTTTTTTTTTTTTCCTTTGGTCTTTGACTAGGTGGGGGTAATTTATATCCTACACCCGGATGTACAGGTACATCCAGTATTTTTGTAAATATACCAACTTCAAGCCTCTAAGTTAGCATGTTCTTTCTCACAAATCATCTTTCGTCTTCTGCAGCCTTCCGCTTTTCGTCTTCGGCTGCCTTCCTCTTTTCCTTCTTTTCTTCCGCCGCCTTCCTCTTCCTTTCTTTCTTCCGCCGTCATCAATTCTTATTGTTACGTTTACTTTTTGTTTTGTTTTCTTTACTTTTTTTAGTGGTTCTGATTGTTACGTTTTTTGTCTTTTTGTTTATTTTTTAGTTTCTTTACTTTTTTTAGTGGTTGATTTCACTTTTTTCGTTTACTTTCTTTACTTATTTTCTTTGGTTTTATTTTTTTCTTCTTTTCCTTTCTTTATTTGTTTTACCTCTTTCTCTTTTTCATGAGTATATTATACCGAGCACATTAAAAATGAGTTTTACCTTAAACTGAAATGAGTAAAACACTTAAAAAAATGAACATACACAAATGAACTTTTGAATTTTTGAATACTCATTTTGTAAATTATGTATGTTCATTTAATATCTCTGTTATGCTCATTTTAAAAATGTTTTAGCAATGCACATTTCAAAAATCTCATATTACATTAGATTTATATAAGAGTTGATCATAAACACGAGGCCACAAATCATGATACTCAATCGCAGATTCTAATACTCAATCACGGGGATTTGATGCTCAACGAATAAAACTTACAATTTTCATATCAATGCTCATCTTGTAAGTTACACATGCTCATTTGTATAGGTCTGATGCTCCTTATTAATTCATGAATGCTCATATAATAGAAATCATGATTTTCATCAATCTCAATAGAGGAGTTTTGAAGCTGAATGAAAATGTTGTGATTTTCAACCAACAAAGCAACTAACAAATTCACTAATACTCATGTTGTAAGTTACATATGCTCATCTGATACTGATCTTATGCTCATTTTCTAAATGTCTTATCAATGCATTTTTATACGTATTATTTTATGATAGACTCCTAATACTCAACATAATAGGTTTGATGTTCATTAAAAGTTTATTATTACTCATTCACAAGAAACTATGATTTTCATCTCAATAGCAGATGTTTGATGCTCAATTAAAATGTCGACTCCTAATACTCAACAGAATAGGTCGGGTGCTCATTAAAAGTTTATTATTACTCATTCTCCAGAAGTCGTGATTTTCATCTCAATAGTGGAGGTTTGATGCTCAATTAAAATGTCATGATGTTCAACTAACAATCATTACAATTTTCATATCAATGTGCACTTTGTAAGTTATGTATGCTCATTTGATACTGATGTTATGCTCATTTTTAAAATGTCATATCAATGCATATTTCAAAAGTATCATATTACATTAGACTCGCATATTGAAATTAATAGGAGTGAATTTTAGATATAAATTAATAAGTTTTTATAGCAGGAAAAAAAAAATTGGAAGATATGAAGCAAAAATTGTGATACTCATTATTAGCCTCATAATACTCAATACAATATGTGAGATGCTCAACAAAACTACATTATTGCTCATTTAGCGGGAGCCATGATTTTTCTCTTAAATTACAAAACTGCCACCGAAAAAAAATAGGCTGTTTTAATTGAATGGACTGACTTCCTTAATTGGGCCTGTTTTGTGGGCCTTCCGTTGGATTCATTTAATTCTATTCAATCTGGGATATCAAAATTGGGCTGAAGTTTAAAAAAATTAAAAAAAAAAACGGATGTACGGTTCTCACCCGTACACCCGGGTGTACGATATACGTACTCCTAGGTGGGTGGGGCTGGGTGGTTTGGGGAATTGGGACGGGCCCAGCCCGGGCCTGGTCCAACCCTACTCAGAAGCTTGGCACCTTTTATGCTATTGCATTGAGAAAGAATTATGTTCTAAAGCAATTGGAAGATTTGGCTTCATATCAATGTATCATCCCACCTTTGGCTTCTAAAATCTTTCTGAATGGGTTAATTTTGAATTTTAATATAAAGCAAGAGTGATGATGATATACTTCTAAGCATATTCTGTTAATTTTGAATCTTTTGATCATCTAGGGAGTGAATACAAGTGTCAGCCATATATTCTGTGCAATTGTATTATTGTCTTAGTATACAAATAAGTGTTCACTAATCTTTATCATTTATGAAAATAAACATATTTTGCTTAAAATTATTTACTAATGTTCACTAATCTTAGTCATTTGTGCAATTAAACGTACTTTGCTTAAAAATAATTCAATTAGTTTTGATTTTAATTATTATTAAGATGTTTTATTTTTCTATAATTTTAATTACTTTAATTATAGGTAGTAATAACTTAATGTGTTAAGAGACAAATATTTAAAAGGCATTTAAGTAATTCACCAAATATGCAATATAAGATATCACTCAACCAAACAACTTAACGTCGCATTCCCTTTATCGTAATCAAACACAAATGGGTTACACATTAAACACATTCTCATCTATCTAACATATTCGGTAATTTAACATTCACATGGTAATCTGACATTCCTTGAACCTAACGGGCCCTAAGAGCTGGGATGTCAAACTTAGATCCTATTGTCCATAGTCCATACAACAACAACATCCAAGCCTTAGTTCCAAAAGATATTGGGGTCGGCTAACATGAATCGATACATGATATCACCACTAATAGGAAAATAAAGAAAATAAAGTTAAAAAGATAAGCTGTTTTGAAAAAGATAATACAAAAAGAGATGAATATACCTAAAAATGATAAATAAAAAGGATAAAAATAATGTTTATATATATAAGGATAAAAAGATAAAAAACAAGACAAAAAAAAGATGAGGGAAAAAAATAATACGAGATCACTCCTCCACACGAATATCTGCCCTCCACTTTGCTCTCTCCAAAGTCATACTCTCATCTAGCCCAAGAAGAAACATATCACTTCGGACTCCCCTAACCCACGTCTGTTTAGGCCTTCCTCTCCCTCTTTTCCCTGCCTCTTCTCCACACATCTCAACTCATCTGACTGGTGCATCACTCGGTCTTCTACGCACATGACCAAATCACCGTAGACGCGACTCCCGCATCTTGTCTTCAATAGATGCTACTCCCACTCTTTGTCTGATTGTCTCATTCCTCACGTGGTCCTTCCTAGTATGCCCACACATCCAACGCAGCATGCGCATCTCTGCCACACTCATCTTTTGAATGTGACATTGTTTCACCGCCCAACACTCTACGCCATATAGTAATGCAGGCCTAATTGTTGTCCTATAAAATTTACCATTCAGTCTAGTCGGCATACCTCTATCGCATAGAAAACCTGACGCACTCTTCCACTTATCCACCCTGTTCTGATTCTATGGGATACATCTCCATCTAACTCACCGTCCTTCTGAATTACAGAGCACAAGTAACAGAATATATTGCTACCCGGTATCTCATTACCATCTAGAACAATTCCGTTCTCCAATGTTTGTCGTCATACTTCCAACTTTGCTTTAAGACCTGATTGCGTCTCATCAATCAATACAATATCGTCGGCAAACATCATGCACCACAGTATTTCGTCTTGAATTGACTTCTTAAGTTCATCCATGACTATGACAAATAAGAAAGGGCTCAAAGTCATTCCTGCTTGGTGCACTCTGATAGTAATAGGGAACTCCGCAGTCCGCCCTACACTAGTACGGACACTGGTAATACTAGGGATGGACCTGGGCCGGGCCGGGCCGGTACCGGTTCGGGCCTGGGCCCGGCCAGGCTTTTGTTTGGGAAGTAGGGAGCCGGAACCGGCCAGGGTAGTCGGCAGTTCCGGGCCGGGCCAGTTTCCGGTTCAAGTTATTTTTTTTATTTTCTTATGTTTTTCTAAATTACCCCGACCCCCCAAACCCCCCCAAAACACCCAGCCCTACCCGGTAGAAACCAAAAAAATTGAAAAAAAAAATGGCCCGAATCGGGCCGGTTCACCATTTTCAAGGCCCGAGCCCGCACCGGGAACTGACCGGTTCCGGTTGGCCCGAACCGGCTCCAAGACCGGGTACCGGGCCGGGCCCCAACAGTACCGGGCCGGGCCGGGCCCCAACAGTACCAGGCCGGGACGCCCGGCCCGAGTCCACCCCTAGGTAGTACAATCCTCATACATATCCATGAGGATGCCGATATACTTGCGTGATATGCCCACCAAAAAACTTCTCGTGATACTCTATCATAAGCCTTTTCTAAATCAATGAACACACTTATCAAAGTTTCATGATATGTTTGCGTCATTTGAGCGGATAGAAAGGTGAATGAAAATAAATAAATAAATTAAAAGTAGCAAAACTAGCAAAATAAGGAAAGCCATGACAAAAAGTTGCAATTAATAATTAGGAGACTAGAACTGAAAATAATTCTATTAACTATATAAATAGTTTGATTCTCCAATCTCCATCAAATACAAATTTAACTTTTAAATTTTAAGTAGAAAAGTTAAATTCAAATTTGGTATAAAATTAATAGTAAAATCTAAATAACAAATACTCCGTATGAACCTTATTGGCTACGTAAATGGTAAATAGATACTATCAAAGTTTAGTGAGACAGTAATTATATCAAAGAATATTTTTATAAATCTATTGATTGACAAATGACCTCATCTTTTGACTGAGAAATTCCATTTATGAAACAATAATTACATCATATATACATGCAACTGATTTCCATGAAAACTTTTTGTTTTTTACAAAAATATTTTCCACACTTTCATTAATTAATTTTCCTACACTTATACAGAGGCTTAGAGTAGCTTTCAAACGCCACTATGGGTGTGACAAGTAAAATACATAGTAACTATTTAGCTTTATGAACTGGCTGACATGTAAAAAACTGTAAGCAGCACTACAAGGAAAGCAACACTTTCTAGTCTAAAAAAAGAGTGTTTATACTTTATAGGATAAACCATGAAAAAAACTCAAGGAACTGGGCTATGTACCACAATGCCTTCCCACGATGATATCTTTCTATGTCACAAGTCACAACTCTACCTAAAATAGATACAAACAACGCTCCAAGCCAACAGTTGGTGGGCATGAAAGGTACCAATATACATAAGCAAACACAAAAACCAAACAATGCACAATACATATATAATTTGAGGGAGCGGGGTGGGGAGACTAACATGTAGCAGCTACTATTTCAACGAAGAGTCAGTCTGATGGTGCTCCAAGTTACGCAATACAATTCTCGCAAATATTTTTGCTTCGAGCGGGGCACTTGCCGACGCTGCCGCTGCACGCAATATACGCGACGCACCCGGGCTTTGCAATAGGCTCACGTGATGCATCGCATGCCGTCCACTTGGAACCGTGAACTGCAAATGTTGGATCCATAGACAGTTGGAGAACAAACATTATAACGTCACTCCAAGAAACTGTTGCACCTTGTTTGGTGGGGGGGATCAGAGGCAAGGAAAGTAGAGTGTAATAATGCTTATTTTTATTAAATTAACTTAAGCTTACATTAAATGACCGGAAAGAAAGTGAGGGATGAAAAATTAACTTAATGTTTTTTTAACCAAATATATAGTCCTTGTTTGGCAATCGTCTATTAGCTGTTAGCTGGTTTTGACAGCGGTGTGATAATAGCTGGTTGTATTAACTGCTTTGGTTAGCTGATTATGTTAGTTTGTTGTTAACAACTGTTTGGTAAATTTAGCAGTTTAAGAGAGATGTTAGAGTGCAAAAAGACCTATAAGGACATTAGTATATACCCCTTCCCTACCTTACAGTTTTGTCATCTTTCCTTTGCTGACCTTCCAAAAAACTTTGAAATTTCCTTTTAGTCAATTAATTTGTGCTTCATATTATTTTTGTCTCATCTACACAAACCTCAACCACATAATTTGATATGCCGGTCAAACTTAGCAAAATTAAAAGGGATCGAGGCAGCGTATTATTTGAGATATTGCTTAGTACAAATCATTCGTATGTTACAAAACATTATTAAAAAGATTATTTTATGCAGTGAAAAAAGTTCACAATGGTATAATATGCAATAGTTTTAGAAAATCAACTAGCTTTTTTTAAACTGGCATAGTTAGATATAATTTTATTGCCACCTAAGTTGTACAAAACCATTATATTCTCCGAACATTAGTAGAGGCACGTGTAGAAACTCTCAAAAGATGACAAGGGAACCCCTACCCTACAAAAGAAATAACCTTGCTCAGAATCCTGGAATCCCAAACATCCTCAACCATTGAGACACGAAATCGCAATCGCCCTTCTAAGACTAGCTTTTAAGACTAGTGTTTCAAATTTTAGCTGCTTTGGTTCAACAAGCTAAACTAACCAGCTATTTACCAAACAAACAAATTAGCTGTTTAGATGATCAAAATCATTAATTGTAGTCAAACAAGCCAAAAACTGGCTGATAAGCTATTTTACAAACAAGGCCATAGCATTTTCTATAAACTAAGACTAATAAATGTAAATAAACTAGTAAACCAGAAGCAATCCTCTCCCTGGATTGCTAGGCGCTAGTCAGTGAGCAAGTGGCACCTAGTCCACCTGGGGCTCTTAATCGCCCTACACGTTGAAACAAATCATTCTAGGGGCCACTGGAGAGTCTAAGGAGAGTCCATAGTGGGCCTCAGCCCAGCCAGGTCTGACTACTCCTCTGTGCCTATATACCTATATTTTGGAGTAGGTATAATGCAAATTTATGTGAAAAGTTAGTAAAAATTTGAAACAGAGTTCGGGCATAAATTAAATACTACTCGTAGTTTCTATGGAATATCAAAAAAATTATTGTTAAAATTAATAGAATAAATTGATTATTACTTTTTCTCCACCATTTCTACGGGAGGCCCAAGCCGACTTTAAGAGCAGTGATAATGTTGGACAGAGAAGGCATGTACCTGAAGAAGAGCAAATGCCGCACATGCCTTGAGAATAGAAGATGGATTTTGAAGCATTTTAACAAATCTCCCAATCTCAGCTCCACTACAAACAATAGAAGAAAAAATAACACTTAGCATGGGGAAAACGTACATTACCAAAGGGAAAATCATCATACAATTATTATCACAACTATACTATATTGTGTGTAGTTTTTTAATTGAGAAAGACATGTAAGGGAAAAAACCTGCATCGAAGATGGCCAGCCTCATGAATGCGCACAGTTTCAGTTACTTGAGACAAAGCTGTAGGGGAGGATGAAGCAGCAGCAGCAGAGAAAGATTGTGGATCAGAGAAGGCAAGCACAAAAGATTCAATGTGCTTCAAAGCCATTCTTTTTGCCCCATGCAAATTCACACTCTTTGAGTTGTTCTCTGATGAGCAGCTCCCTATTAGTGCTACTTCATCCATTCTGTTGAACACATGTATACATACACATACAATTACTTCTGTAAAATGGCATACCCAGCATTGCAGCTCCCATACAATATATACTATATCTGTTTGGTGGGGGGAAGTGGGGGGGGGGGGGGGCAGTGGAAGACGAAAATATAAGCCTCCTTTCTCAAAATTGAAAAAAAAGCTTCAAATATAAGAGGAGAGATGAGATAAAGAGTACCTTCCGTCAAACAAATATGCCAAAGCCAATGAAGCCATGAATCGTGCCATTTTAGAGACAGAAGTAGAGCAAAGATGAACTAGGGTAGGAACACCCCCTTCCTCTACAATTCGAAGAGCATTGCCAGAATTGAAGGCAAGATTCCAAAGAGCTCCAGCTGCTGTCTCATGGACATCCTGATAGAGCATAATAATAAGCTTATTGATATTCAAAAATGATCCAAGAAGGCTTTAAACAAACTCTGGGTCCGGTTCAATACAGCAAGTCAATTTCATTTAAAAGTTCCATACTTTTTATTGTTTCAAGAAATAAAAGAATAGAATGGATGCTCAAAATTTAAAAGTTCCATATATTTTATTGTTGGAAGAAATAAAAGAATAGAATGGATGCTCAATCATTATGAAACATTTGTTTTTAATTAATTATTACCTCATCCATCCCACACAATTACCCCTTTTTGCATTCATAAGTGCAGTTTCCTCTTTATGTATAAACAGTTTTAATTTAATAAAACGGGCATGATTGGAAATTACCCCCTAGATTTTTTTTATTTCATTTTAGGAATTTTCATAATATGTCACACTTTACTTTAGGTCCCTGCAAAATAACTTTTTTTTCTTTTTCATCCATGTAATATTACTAATATATACTATTTTGTTTTTAGTCCATCTCTAACTACGAAATCACTCCATTGAGAAAAAAATTATTGTTGGTTGCATAATACTACTAAAAACTTTTAAATTTATCTTTTTATAATTTGTTGAGGCAAATATGAGTTAAATCAATGTAAAACTAATTATACACATTTTTAAAATATGTATTAACAACCTTCTAAAAAATAAAATTAAATACTTTTTGGATAACATGACAAAGAATGAGAGGAAACTTATTAGCTGAGGTTGTTTCTTTGTCAAACGGAGGTTGTTATCGTCGGTGATGGACTAAAATGAAAACCCACATAGATTACAAGGATGAACAACAACAAAATAATTTTACAAGGACATATTTAAACCTTAAGGATAGTAGAAGAACATAGGGAAGAAATGGAAGTATTTCATTTAGCGAATTGAAAGTAACCTCAGATTCAGATCTCGCCAATGCTATTAGCGGTGGTACGCCACCTTCTCTTCCAATAGCAATACTATTACACAACAGCGCACACATAATGCAAATTAGTAAGTACTTGTTTAAGGGCAGGGCAACA